GTATATACATACAATACATACGTATATACATACAATACATACATATATACATACAATACATACATATATACATATACAATACATACATATATACATATACAATACATATATATACATACAATACATATATATACATACAATACATACATATATATACATATAATACATACATATAATACATACATACATATACATACACACATATATATATATATACATACAATATATATATTTCTAAAAAAGATATGTTCATATTTTAAAAGCTACTCACCATGTCCAAGAACTTGGCTTGGTATGTGGATATGTTCCTATAAACTTCTACTGGAAGTGTCACCTTGGACACCTCAGTGTTGGGATCCTGACCAGCTGATGGCAAAATGGACAACAGTCAGTCACAGATAGACTCATCAGAGAATAAGCACAAATATGAGCAAATATACAGAAACCTGGCTGGATTCAAAATGGTATCATAACTGTTCAGCGGCAGATACTCACCGTGGTTGGCACTGCTTATGTGGCGATAGACCATGTAGCCCACCGTGGCCCCGACGGAGAGCCCCGCAGCCAGAGCCACTATTTTGCCTGAGCTCAGGGTGCTCTTGTGACCCTCCATCACTGCGTCCATGACACACCGTGCACCCAGCGGGATGCTCCACCTAAAACACAGAAATGACTTAAGTCTCCATCCCAACGGTCCTAAAAGTTACTGCTCGTTTTCTTTCTAGGTCCAGTCCTATCAACTCCTGCCTAGGAAATGTCTTTACAACAAATCAGGCCTTTGCTTTTGCAAAAATGTGATATGCAATCAGAATGCATTAGCTGGCGTCATGTACAATCCTCAGTGTTTTGTTGGCCTGCTGGGCAGTCATGCAGCACAAAGCTTAAAGCATTAGCCAGCCTGAAAACAACACAGTAGATCAGCGCTCTCAAACATACCCACATTACACACCACTCTGAGTTCTCTGTGGAACCCAATTGATTAGATTATGTCCCATTGACATGTATGAGAAGATGCCTGTTTTCTTATCATACTTATTTATTTCACGCTATTGATTTGTGTAACTGTCTTGGTAACCACATTACATAGATGATAGTATACAGAAAAGTTCACTGCTTGGGACCAGTAGTTTGACAAAAAATAAAGATTAGACATTTTGACTCAAGGTCCACTTACTCGCATTTCTTCCATGGAGCTTTCAACCATGAGTGGACCTTGAGATTTGTTTTTTTTTGTCAAACTATATGATAAAGTGAATTCCTGACCGTAGGGATGCACCTATCCGATAGCGATACCTGAGCTTTGGGTATCAGCCGATACCGAGTGCCGATACCAGTGTTTAATTAATACGCTTCTGTTACGTGTAAGGCAACACCAGGCCTGACTTAAACATTTTCATCTTTGTAAATCAAAATGTAACAAATTAGATATAAAAGATATAAATTTACTGAATGTTAATGTATTATTCAAATACTCAATCGTGTAACAGCAACTTGGTAAACGATCTTCAAGATCAATAACACAGTGTTAACCTTTGTAATGCAGCCACTAATTGGTCAACACTTAAACAGGAATTGTAGTAAGTAAACATAGAATTAAAATGAATGTATCCCCCCCCCGATCCAGCTGTTTGAGTCAGCACCGGTGCATTCCTACCCGACCATAAAAACAGCTGTGGACAAAACAATCTCACCCAATATTCCACGAGGTAGCTGTTCTGGGGTTTTCAATCATATTTTGCGAGGTTGTTTGTTATGAGCACTTGAAGGACTTAACACCCAGGTTGATAGAGGTCAAAGTTCAATCTTGATCTTTGAAAGAGCAGTTGAGAAACCATCTGCACAAAAGAACATCACTTTATGACTGAAATCTACACAACAGATGCTAAATGGACATTATGGTGGGATTGTCTTCTCAGCTGCATGAGAATTGGTGTTAGTGAAACATGTTACAGTAGCGATTAGGTTATATAATTGGGATAATTTACACGAAAGTAAATGACAGTGAACTGTAAGTGTTCCTTGTTTAGTTGGGGACCTCTATAAAGTGTACTTAAAGGACGCCTGGAGGCCCCCTTGACCCCATCTTGAGAACCACTGCAAGAGATTCTTACGATGTAGCCTGTCACGGTCTCAGACTACATCACTTGCCAAAATAATTAGCTGGCAAAAGCGTGCATAAGCAGTCACATACACGCAATAAAGTCCCTTAAATGATGAAACATTTAGTGTACACTGTGCATACACAAGCAGCACTGCACTTCTTATAAACACACCAAGCCAAACTGCTCTACTGTGACCCTGACTCCAGGACGGAATGCACTGGAAGCTGCTGCTGCACAGGCTGCATACCATTTAGCTCAGTTGGGCAACCTCCAGCCATTCCATTAATCCCTGAACACTGGCAGCCAATTTAGTGCAACTCTGCTTAAAAGTACAACTCGCACACACACACACACACACAGAGACAGAATGCACTGGAGGTGAGCCAACAGTGATGAGCGTGGAGACGACGCAGGACCGAGGGAGCACACAGCACCGCCATGCAAGATGCGTGTCTCACTGGGAGAAGAGGGCTCTGGGACAGTAGTTGAGAAACACATGGGACTTGGACACTCCGACGTCCATCTCGGAAGAATCGGGACTAAAAGATTGAAATCTTCTCCAGTCCACGGCTCGTTTTTTTGAGGGGGGTTTGTTTGTATTGTTTACATCCACGTTCAAGACTACTGACATGACAGGTAGAAGGAGAAGACAGATTCAGCATTTCAAGTCACTACATGACAGCAACTGGTCAATCACACTGCACAGCCTTTAGTGGGAGACAATGAGAAAATCATCATTAGTTCATCAGATATCATCAGCGATTTACTTAATGCAGATCTTCACTGTGGTAATATGCGCAACCAGTTAGTCTTTGCAAAACCGATTCTGGTTTAAAATAGCAATTTCATGTAGAGTTTCTTACAGAAAGACGTATAAAAATGTGCAGACATAACACATGACTTTTCTGAAATTGTTATGCGTTAAGGCATTTAATAGATCCGTCAAACAGCAATTTGGGGCAATAACATAATCCCAAATGTCATAGGTGCTTCTGATGCTTGGTACCGCCTCCAACACGTTGTGTTTAGGTAGGAGAAGCTTTGAGAGTTGATAGAATGTTTAGCTGGGTGTCCCACTCATACACTGTCTTCAGTCACGTTATACACGAGACGCCACGTTTGAGCATCAGCGAAGCGTTTACATTTTGAAACAGAGTTTGGCGTCACGTCTCGTCTCTCGAAACCACCGGGGAACATCACCTGTGCGACCTGCTAGATAGATAACCTTGGCTCTCTCTTCGGCGCTCTAAGGCATATTATCGCGAAACACTTTTGTCAACACCAAGACGAGAGCCAGCGCAATTTAACGTCAACCTCCACATGCACAGAATGTATTTTCGACTTCCGACGAGCTTCCCCAACGACCGCAAACACACCTCTAAGCTAGCCAAGCTAACATTAGCTGTAGCTGCTAGTTGGCACATGCACGCGAGTCAAACATTTACAGAAAGGTAACAAAAACGTCCTCGGCACGCGCACATACCCTTGACAGTACATCCTTTGTATGTTGTGAAGGTCTAATGCAATTCACAATTAACAGGAAATACGTGTTATAATGTATGACACTTACAGACACCTTGCTCTCTTTCGAATCGACCCCGTTTGCAACTTCTGTCAAGCTACAAGTACACCGGAAACTATTTACATCTACGTTTAAGCCTATGTGTGTAAGACTAATAACAGTATGGTTGTGAAAAGTATGTGAAACAGCAATATGGTTATTACCACTTATCAGACCCCGCCTGAAAACAATTCACGTTTATTTCTTAAGGAAACGTGACTGCCACCGAAATAACGACATTTACGTTGAAAGGTCCACCGGAAGTCTGTCTCTTCGTTCCAGTTACTTGACACTTGTGCCAGCAGATTTGATGCACTGTCCCATCCACACACGTGCACCGCATCACAACAGTGAATCACGCGTGGGACCTAACCATCCGGGGGGGATGTCGTGAATATTTTATGAAAATAGAAATTCCACATTATACACCTACCTCATGTGTGTATAGAGCCTGTTAGATTAATTATTCCATGTTTAATTCTGAAAAACAGAAATATGAATTAATACAAGTGACAAATGTGTTAGATAAATAAATAAGATTTTAAATACAATTTATTTATAAATTGTAGGGATCACACTTTCATAACTGCATAAATATGTCAAGCAATGTTACGAGTAAATACAACTTATAGAATAACTGTATGGCATTCCTCATGCATATTTAAAACTTGAAGTTGTTTAGTATCATAGTCTTGTTAATGGTCAAAACATTTGAAATAAAAAAAATCAATTTACATTTATAGTTTGTTGAATGCGTGTGCTCCAATCTGCTGACACATGTCGATTTGAATGTGTGAGTTGAGTGCTGTCAAATATAATGCAGGGGGCAATTCGTTGGCATTGCATTAACGATGGGTCAAGCTTAAACTCCTACTAGACACCCCCTGATGACATCACAGGGGTTCTTTTTCAAATTTTGGAAAGCTCCTCTAGAGCATCCCTCATGACGAATAAACTGATGTGCAAAGTTGGAGTGTCTCTTTAAAAAGCAAAAATAAATTCAAGATAAAATACAAACTCTTAGAGCACACATTAATTAAAATCAGAACCTTTAGTGTGCGCGTGTCATGAAAACACAAATGTGTCTGCTATTGAGACTTATTCTCCATACAAAATATATAATAGGAATTTCACTCGGTTGAAAATTATAGTCGTGCTCATCCTCTCGTTACTTACTGTGGTGAATTGTTTTGTGCAACAACATTTTTTAACAAAACAATCGCATAAATAAAAGTATTTATTAACATGACATAATCAATACACAAACACATTTGTCAAAAGTCTTGAACATAGCCACTTTAAAAAATACAAAATATACATTCATGTATTTCGTGAACAACTATATCCTAGTCCACCCCCACCCCCCTACAAATCAAGTGACAGAGGCTTCAGCTCCTAGCATGTGGATGATGATGTCATCAAAATGCAGAGCATCAAATCTGCAGGTTGTACCAGAGGCTTGGTAACAAGCATTATGAAGTCCATGCTTGACTGAGTCCATTTGTGTTGTGAACAAAAACAGTAGAACTATAGAGAACGTGTACATCGATCAAGACAGAGCATTCACTGGATCTTATTCATGCAGCATAGTCCATATGTGTCATGACATAAAACACAAGTATGAAACATGGCCAATACAAATTAATTTAAACCATCTATGTTTTCTTGCATTGTGATGTTTGTCTTAAAACCATCTTCAGTAGTTTCATGCGGATTACACCGTCAAGTCAGAAAGTGATTGCGAGTAGTGCCGTAAAACTTAATTGTGCTTTTGCACTCGTTTACTTGTACCTCCTCACATACAACCCACCCCCCCCCCCCCGCCCCCCCCACACACACACACACACACACTTTAAATGTGGATCTTAAAGGAGCAGTTGTAGCAATGTATTCACTAAAACAGGCACACGCAAAAAAAGCCAGCAGAGGTGTGAACAGGGCCGTAGCCAGGATACCAAAGATAATGAGGTCACAAGCCCATCATGTTTGACGCCATCTTCACATTAAGTCTATACGTGGCCAGATAACCAACCAACAAAAGCTTTTTTTCCCCAAATGCTTCAGGCCTGCTGTGATGATCAGTTTGTGGTCATTTGAATGACTAAAAAATATATTTAGAATAGGGGCGAGCGATATTGATAAAATTCTCATCAGAATTGACCCTTCACTAAGCCCCGCCCCCCGCTGCTACTCCGTTCAGCCGTCAGACTTACCATGGAGCCCACACTGTCACTAACTGTACTCTCTGAATAACCATCTAATATTTGGGAGAACAAAAATGCGATTTCAGAGAGGAGACAAAAGGGTGTATAATGTGTTTGAAGGATATAAAACAGGTTAAAAAAAGATAACGATAGAACCTAAAGCTACAGATTACAGTGTAAAAGCCACCCCATCACCTGGTGATCAGGCAATGAAACTAAGGAACAATACTGTTCCTGTAAAGCCGGTTAGGTCGTTATTCACTGTTACAATCATTAAAAAGCTAAAGCAGCATGTGTATACATTCAGTATACGATCAGTAGCTAGCGTAGCATACAAGTGCTAAAGTACTCTGCTAATGTTCGCTCCACTGGTTTTTACATAGAAACGTACATCTCCTTCCAACCTTTCCGGGTAAAGAGTATCCCTATTACACAACATCTAACCACGACAAGGAGCAGGCCGATGCTCCACTATGATTGGACAGTCTGCGTTTGAGGGCGGGACTTAGCAAAGGGTCAATTATTTCTGTCAGACCAAAAGATTCTAAAAATGTAACATAATATGTAAATGTGAGTTGATTCCCGCATACATTAAATCAAGAAAAAAAAAAAAGAAATCCTACATTACAGTATATATAATTGTATGTCACAATATCAGTATATAAATATCGGGATTTAAGACATTTTCTGGAAAATTGATTGGCTAATTTTTGCCGCGGTACCTCCAAACAGTTAATCCAGCACTGACAAGAATGACTTTCATTGCTTAATATTTGTATAAAGACAGTTATTATGAGTGGCATAAAAGTCTTCAGTATTCAGTTCTGAAGTAATGTATTACCAATTCAGGCCATCATCCCACTTGTATACAGTAGCAATATCAAAAACCATGTCCATTTGAAATTATGACAGCACCACAAAGAAGGCTGGTCTGATTGAAATAGACCGTCAGTGATACAGACGTCTGCTGCACATCACAGGAACTGTAGAAATTGAAGGGCCTGAACACAGTAGATTAATTAGGAAAGGAATCCAAGTATATGGAATCTTATGGGCAGCAGATCAAATATGAAATATGGGGTAGTTGGGAAAATCTACTTCACTATTCATTTTCTATACTTTAAAACAAACAGCATCCTGAGCTCCTGTCTGTCGAGATGTTGAGAGCTGAAACAGCCAGACAGGCTGAGAAGAAAGGCAACTGAATGCTACGAAGCACCTTTCAGAAAACTCTGGTATGTTAGCATACCAGAATTAACATCATTATATATTCAGTAAATCCATCGCTTTATGGAGGGACCTGCTAAAATCACTGCACAGCCAGCTGCGTGGGTTCATAGTAGCATGCTGGCACATTCTTCAGTTCGATAAATGTGAATACAGTAAATATGTAAATGTATTTATGTGTGTAGAAAACGCGACAGATACAAATCAATCCTTAATCTTTAGTTCCTATTGTGTCACGATTGCTTAGCTCGGGAATTTAGAAACAACAGAACGTTTGTTGCAAAACACAATAAAATAATAGGGAATATTGTCTATCACAGTGAAGGTTAAAATTTGGCTCAAAGACTGAATGATAGAAAGTAAGCTTAGAAAAGTTTCTTTGTCACATTTTCTCAGAGGTAGTGCGAGACCCTATTCTGTCAATGCCAAGCAATGAACCAACACCCTGTTACATATGGAGGCCCAAAGTGTGCAGTATTAAATGAAGAAAAAAGACAGTATGAAATAAATAATCATAGGAATAAATTCTTTCAAATATAAATATTAACCAACAAATTGTAAATTACTAATAAAAAAAAATAAAAAATTGTTGTTTTTATTCTATAACAGAATTTTATTGGAAATCATTTGTATTTCATTCTAGAAATGGCCGTATTGAAAAGTTTGCCGTTACTCTATAACTTCTTAGTCTTTGGTCACTTTTCATGACAGTGGTGTCACTGCCCTCTCACCTTCACGTAACCCCTGCCCCTTAAACTAGCAATCTCAACAACTGTTACCAAATTTACATCCTGTTAGCTACAACAACAACAACAAAGTACAGTAATTGTGAAGAAATTAACTAGAGGCTGCTGCTGTAAATAAACAGACACTAAACCTCTTTAGCTTTCAAGAATTAGCTTAACAAAATCTGGTAGCTGTTGTTGAGTTTGCTAGCTTCAGAGGCAGAGGGCGGAAAAAGTCAATTGTGGCATGAAAACGGACTTAATGGTTTCTTAGATAAAATAAATGTACATATCTTACACGATTTGATTATCTATTTCATAATTAAACGTTTGCCTATTTAATATTGAACACTTCACAGTTACTTTCCTTTTCAGCCCCATGTGTTTTTCCCGTGAATGACGGCTGGACTGGCCTAATGATAAGACACATTTCAATGTGTGTGTCTCATTGGGTGACATTACAATGAACATCAGTAAAACATCCTTTATTTGGGGCCTGACAGCCACCATGCACAACGTCTCTCACAAATGGAGAACGATAATGAGAAAGCATAAACCTTTTCAGAAAATATTCCTCATGCCGTTAAAACTAACTAAAACCAGACAATAAAAAGTTGCCTATTTTTGGCTCTTTTCTATTAAATGGAAATGAATGCTTTTTTTCCCTGCCCGCAGTTTTGAGAGAATAGACCCAGGAGCTTACACATTTGCGTCATAAAGCATTATCTGCTCCACCTGATGGTTGCAGTGCTGTTGGTGCTGAAGTGTTAATGTAAGGTTCTGCAGTACTTGCATGCTGCCCTTCCCTGGGTTCCAGAACTAATGGTTCCCAGTATTGCCACAACACTAACTACCTCAGAGGGAACACATCAGAATGGAGAATTCATGCCCAGCTTTGTTTCAAACTGCAGCTTCTGTCTCTTCTGGTAGCGAACTCGCACCCTGAAATGGACAGATTGAACAAAATCAGACAGGGACACAATCTCCTGCTTCACAACACATTATGAGAGAAATTCTGAGATTGATCAGATTACAAAATAATCCTGAAAAATCCACACTGATCCCCGCTGCCTTTCCTCCCCCGTTGCTTCGTTCTGCCATTTGTTGCTCAAGAATCTCCCATGACTCCAAGTCATGTCGTTTATAGGTTCAACCCATCGTTTCAGTTCCCCCTGTGTCTGGGTTCGTACCGTATCTCGTGTAGCTTCACCACTTCGTTGACCAACACCACCAGCAGCGGGGACAGAGAGACCAGCAGCCACACCAGCAGGGGTATGTCACCCAGGTCAAAGGTCAGGAGGCTGCCCTGGTCGCGCCATAACTGGTAATCCACTGTGGCCTGAACAAGCTGGCTTAGCAGACTGGAGGAGAGGAGAGAGTGAGGATTGAAAATGTAGTAAGACCAGATCCACTTCTTCCATTCTTGCCTTTCAAAATATAAGCCCTAGACATATACAGTACACTGCAACATTGTTTACCAGAGGTAACTCAAATTCACACTGACCATTTCGCTAAAAGGAAACTCAATAAAATAGCTAACAGTAGCTTAGGCAATACAACTATTTACCGCGGTCAGACTGCCAGACGCTGCTCTGGGTCAATAGGATCCTGGTAGTTGGTCCTCTGGCAGCTTAAATCTATTCTGACCGTCTGTTGAAAAAGTGCTGCGACTGTCGCAAATACGCATCACTGCCGGTAGGAATAGTTTTGATGCAAAATATTTTTAGCTGAGCATTCAGGTGTTGTTTATCCGTCACGCCCCTGGTGTGTAAAGGCCTTAAGAGAGGTGTACCACAGCACAGTGGAGACACTGTTATCAAACACAAACAGTGGGGAGATGCTTAACTGGTTTTAGCTTCTTAAATGAGCTGAGGAATGTGAAAGGCGGATCTTTAGGTATTGAGGCAGCTGTACTGAAACTTCAATATAACTTCAGACAGGAGATGATCACTTACACCACAGGTACAGTGAGACACCACCAGGTATTGCTAAAGGGATTCTTTCTCCACAGAGGTTGAGAGCGGTGGACGTAGCTGAGAGAGATCGCCACTGAGGAAATGAGAAACAGAAGAAAGGGATCGATTTGAATAATGATAAAAAAAACATGGGTGACTTTGACCATGATTTATGCTACATATGTTAGAATGGTATCCTACCTGTGTGTAAGACGAGGAACCCTGCCATGACCTTCTGAGTCAGCAGCAGACCGTTGGACAGCTCATCGAACCAGTGAGGAGCGTCAACTAGAGAGCTTCAGTCAAACAGAAAAACAGTCAGCTGTACGCTGCATCAAATCCTCCTGAAATTAACTGTGATACAATTGTCAACAACTGAGCCTCTGAATGGAATAACTGGTTGACAGCGGGACTGCAGTGCTTCTCCTACCTGGCTGTGAGTATATATACGTGAGTGGTGTTGTCAGCTAAGCTGGTGTTGTCAGCTAAGCTGGAGTTGCTGCTTCTGAAGACCTCCTGCAGGGTGAACCCAAAGGCCAACAGGTAGGCACACACTGTCAAGCCAAACTTCAACAGGAAACAGCCGAGGAAGTAGTTCTGGGTCTGGTTAGAGGAGGACAACATGAGGAGCCTCAGACTAATTGAAACGACAGGCTTTTAGGTTTTCCTTCGTCCAGTCTATTTAGTAAATAGATACATCAGTGGCACTAACTTATCATTAATTAACATCCAGACTGTTGCAATTATCAGCTGCACTTTACAATGAGTATTGTTATATTACTATAATTGCAAAACACTAGGGCTGTACTAAATGTAATTTTTTTAACTTTCAAAGTTTCTATTGAGATTTGCTAATCAAGCACTGAATGTCGGTCGTTATATTTTATGACGACATCACCCTAACATTGTTTTTGTGGTTGTATAAATGTAATTCATGGTACCGTTAGATTGCAAACTGTTTTTTGACCACAGTGAAAATGTTGTTTTTAAAAGGCTAAACACCAACACCAGCACAATTTTTTGTTAGACAACATGTGATTTTGGAAATTATTATTGTCATCTATCTTTTGGGCTTAGGACTGAAATCTCTGGAGTTATTGGAAACAATCGTACTCAGCTACCACTGGAATCCAGTTCTACAAATAGTATAATACAAATAATAGTGTAGCCTGATCTTTATCAGCAACTGTGCAGAAATATAGAATTTAAACAAAATGAATAGACATGCAAAAAAGCTGCATAGCATTCGAATATGGATTTATAATTTGAATGTGAACGTTATGAATGCAGCTTTTAAGCTTCCAGCTATTCAGTAAATAAAGGAAAGCAAGAATCTTGGGAATTATAATTATTATCATTTTGTAATCATCATCACCACCACTTGACTGCCTTTTCATTAGATACTCTTGTACAATAAAATATCTTTGCGCTTCATTTGGTTGTAGGAAGTGATCAGCAGTACGTTTGAAAGATTTGTCTTATACGTGATCCTACCTTCCTTGGGATTGCATCCAGGTTCTTCCCTGTGGCAACTGTCATGGCCAAACTGTCGGGTGGCTTCCCCAAAAATGACACGCTGCCAACACAACAAAAAAAACAGAAGCATGACATCCGGTACGACACAGCAAATTTGAATAGTATTACTAGTTTCTAAAGTTCTAGAATGTAAAGCATGCGTGTACCTTAGCAGTGGGCAGCTGAAGCAGGACAGCCAGAGGATGTCAGTGGTGTTCATGGGAGGAGGAAGCTGAGCAAGACAGGCTAAGAACTGCAGAAAAACACCAGCACACTTCATGTATTCATTCAATATCATAAACATAAGTAGATGTATTTTTTTACATAAAAAGCTAGCATAGTACAGTGTAACTATCCATGTGACTCTGTGAGGTCTCCTGTCTCACCTGGATGATGACCAGACTGAGCTGACACTGCAGCAGGAAAAGGAAGCACTTGCGGATGCCGTAGGTCGTGTGTCGCGCCTGGAACACATTCACCCAAAGACGGATTAATGAACGCATTTGATTACCCTCTCCGACTTACGTGCATGTTTTCGCGGCATGTCTTGACCTGCTCTATGAGCTTGACCATGCTGACGCTCTCTCCTTGGTGGAAGGTGACGGAGCAGCCCAGACTGTTGAGCTGTCCAGAGAGCCTCAGAGGAGACAGACCCTCAGCGTCTCTGTCGCTGAATCCTCCCCCGGTGGCATAGCCGAACGTCTCCCACGAACACTGAGAGGGGTACAGAGGGTCCAGAGCGATGCTGCGGAGGGAGCAGGTTGAAAACATTCACATATGAGCCAATCAGGATTGTACTACTCTGCCCTTGAAGGGTCAATAAACCAAGTTACAAGAAGACATCTCTTCACTTCTGTCTCCACACTAGTGTAATGTAATAGAGGCAAATTTAATTTGAACTGAAAAATTATACAGTTTTCAAAAGCAACATTGCTAGTAAATTATATAACACAACGCTGGTAAAGAACAGATAAAAGTGGAGGTTTTTGTTGGAAAAAATGATCTTTTAACGATTTACTGGTTTTCTTTATTCTATCTTTTTATTCATCCGTGTTAATGGATGACCTCCCCGCACTGCCGTTCTGTGGATTATATAAAACGGGGACACTGACTCTTGAGAGAGTTGTCCCTCTTGTTAACTTTTTAGAATCTTATTCGGCAATGCTGTGAGTGCCACTCAGTCCTTTGTGTTGGATGGGTAGAAATCTCAGAGACAGCTATGAATAGAACCAAAACTATGTGCATGGCTAGATACCGATAGAGGAAGACGAGAAACTAAAGCTTTCAGCTGGATTTCACAAAGAAATGCAGGAATATTAATATCATCATGACTTTTAATTTAAATTTAGTGGTTCTACTGTTTTGAGATAAAAATCAAGCATTTACATCTGAAATCAAGATTGGTCAAACCCAAATCACAATAACATCAACTTACTAATTAAAAACAAAACAATGAACTATATTAATGTGCGTTTACCTGAGGTCACTCTGTAGAAACAGCCGGCTGTTATGGAAATTGGCGGAGCTTCCCAGACAGCATGTAACCTCCCTGTTCTCCTGCATGATCTTTATCATCTCACACATGGCTGGGAAGAAAAACAAACACACACACACAAGCGTCAATATTACTGAAAAACAAACACTAAGTATATCTAGAACAGAGACAGTAATTCTGATCCAGATACAGTTTAGTTATATAGGAACAATAAACAATTTACAAACATTGGTAATTTGAAAATACCAATGAATCATTTTGTAAAATAAACATTTATTTATTTCTCTGATAAAATCATCCTTATCCTTCAAGTTAAATGTAGCATGTCCGTGGACTTAAAAGTCAGTTTCATGTGATGGCCCTGCTGCTCTGCCATTTGGCATGTGCTTCATAAACCTAACAACACCAAAAGCCAAGTGGTCTTGCCCCTAAAATAATGAAATTCCAGTCATCATTTCTTTCTGTGAAACGTAGGCCTTATTAGTTGCCATTGCCATCATTGCTTTACCTCTTTAGAATCTAGGAAGGCAATGGGGGGGAAAGAGGGAACCTTGAAAGAGTCCAGACAAAAGAGTGCACAAAACAAAGTGGACTTGCACATAAGGAGGGTGACGTATTATGTAAAAACGCGTGCAGAGGACTCACTGTCGGGGGTGCAGTCTGTGAAGAGCGGCACCAAAAGAGGCACATTATCGATGTTCTTCAGATGAGGACGAACCTGGTGGATGCCACGAGGTAGCTTGGCCTGAGAAAGAGCAGAGACAGAAAAGACAAAGACAACATGTTTAAACTAAATTCCACTCATTTAAGTTCTTTATAATTTAAATTATGACAGTGCATACAAATAATCCACTTAAAGCAATACATCATCTGCTGTTGTTTCAGAAAGCAAAGGACAGAAAAATCAGTATAAGACAGATAGCATTACGTCCTCTGTTGTAGAGAGAACTGAGCAGTAGTTTCATTGGTTTTTAATAAAAAGTATCGTCACCCTGTTGCAGTCCTCCAGAAAGCTGGGCACGTCGCTGTCTGTGGGCTGAAAACAGGCAAGGTCAGCTTCCTCCTCTGGCAGCAGCGGACCCTCTGCTTCGTCCCGGGAATCTGCGTCACATATGACGAGAGCAGTCTAAACTTTTGAGATATTCTCACACAATTTAGAACTAGCTTTCACAGGGTTCACTTGTTGAGGCTGGATTTAAAAGGACAATGTATTTAACACCCACCTCAGTTTAAGGAACACACTTAAAAGGTTTATTAAAAGGTGCTCAATACGGAATCTCTGAGGACGTCCATTGCCTGCACGTGGCTGAGCCAGAGGCTAGCAGCTAATGGCGCTAACAGTGCTAACACTGGCCTAAACCTAAGCCAGATGTTCATAACCCTAACATCAAATTCCTGGGGCTCCACATTACTGAAGACTTCACTTGGTCCCTGAACACATCACACCTGGTGAAGAAAGCCCAGCAGAGGCTCTTCTTCCTGAGGAAGCTAAAACAAGCTGGCCTGCCCCCTGAACTTCTGGTAAACTTCTTCAGAAGTGTGATTGAAAGCATCCTCTGTCAGTGCTTTACTGTGTGGTATGCCAGCTGCACAGCAGAGAACCGGAGGGACCTGGCCTGGGTGGTTAGAACAGCACAGAGGATTGTGGGAGTTACCCTCCCTGACCTGGACACTGTGTATGCTGGCCGCCTCCAGAAGAAGGCCAGCAACATCTGCAAAGACATCACTCACCCGGGTCACTCTCTGTTTGTTCCACTGCCATCAGGAAGAAGATACAGGACTATCAAAACCCGGACTAACAGGCTGAGGAACAGCTTTTTCCCCAGAGTGGTTTCCTCCATCACCCCCCCCACCCCCACCCCACCCAGCTCACACCGGACAGTGCTGCGGTCAAACAAAAATAGGCAATAACACGACACTTTAACAAAGCACCTTTTTCACTTTAAAGCCATTGATGCCTGTATTTTATCTTGTATATATTTATTGAATGTCTTGTTTTAAATCAGAAATGTCTTGTCTTAATGTTTTTATACATTTTTTACCTGTTGCTGCTGTACTGACTGATGAGTCGGCAACTTAATTTCGTTGTATGTTTTTACAATGATAATAAACATCCCTATCCTAACAACACTGATTGGACATCCACATAAAAGGTGCCCAATCCTGCCTTCAACCTCAGTTTGTACAAGCGGGTTTGGTACCTTGGTTCAGGGAGCCCTGACCAGGGCTGGACGGAGCTCCGTCACAGGGACTCTCTCCGTTTGGAGTCAAAGAGATGTGACAGTTCCAGCCTGTCTCTAAGCCCATCTTCTCTGCAAACACCTGCACAGACACAGAAGTAGCCACAGAAGTCAGGTACTCACATTTTTATCTGATTTGCAGTACACTATTTTGTATAGATTCTCCAACACACACTCTAAATAAATTTTTTATA